CGACCGCTTTAGCTATTCTTGGGGCTCGTCAGTTAGGCGCAATGCCTGAGTTTCCGTCAACCTTGTGTTCTGCTTGCATTCCTATCGAACAGGATTCACTAACTAACCTTATAAGCAAACGAATTTGGTTTCCATTGGAGACTGGACTGAATCCACTCGAATCACTCATTTATGATGATCTTCTCGTGCCTTAGTTGGTACTATATTCGAGATATCTCAATATGTCTTCCTGACATACCACATTGCTCAGCTGAGTCTCCCGTCAGAACCATGTTCGTATGCCAATGAAGGTATCTGGTGAATTACACCAACGTTAATTTCTATACAATGAATACTTTGGTGTTCTCTGGATGACGATTTCGCACCAAGCACAGTGAAGTAAACACTAGAACTGTTTTTCGCTGTGAATGTTCAAATAATTCAGATCCGCCGCCAAGGCTGTTTAGTCTGTTGTATTTGAGAACCATCTGTTGCTACTTTAAATGATGTCTTTTTAATGCTCATGGTACTGTTTACTATAGATATGCTGGATTCTTACAACATGCGAGAACGATTTGTTATGATCGTTTTATTTAGGGTTAGCTGGAGATCCCACGTGAATGAAAACTGTAAGATATATGACAAGGGCCTTGGAACAGCGGCAACAAAGTTAAAAAGATCTCTTTGCTCATCTTGATTGGAGGGGATACCTTCCGGGGGACACTGCATAGGGTGAAACATGAGTGTAGCAGCTGGTGGAAAAATCGCGCGAAAGGTCGCGACTAGTTTTATGGATTCTTTTTGAAAGAAAGTGCTCAGGAGTCAGCCGACCATTCATCTCCTGTTATAAATAGATATTTGACTCTAGGATGCGATTCGAAACAAACCCATCGCTAATTCTTCAGGGAATCAGCAAATGATGCAGCCACTACACATGAGTTTTCATCAAGTACTGGTGAACAGTTCGTTTCTAACCAGAATCCACCTATTTTTCTACATCCTATTTAACTATCAAGTGCAGGCTGTTGTATTATACTTAGACACACCTGCCAGCACAATGGACGCGGACTATATATCCCGAGTTTTATCTCGCTGTTCCAATCCATGTCGACCTTGCTAGTCATGTCTGTTCTATTAGTTATCCCAGTGTCAAGAACTGTTGACCAATCAAATCTTCAAGTCGTTCTGTGGATTACTCAATTTCGGTGGGGATCATCCTGCACCGGGCAACAAGACGGATGCAACTCGTCCCGGAGACAGTCCACGCTATCAGGCCTCTGGCAGGTCAAACCATTATACCACCACAAGGTGACAACTGTTCGTTACAACTCAATTCAATCCCCGTCCAATGGCGGTTATCGCATTCTCTGTGAGAATCTTCCTCTTTGTTCAGTCGATAGGAATGTGTGTATCTGGTCGACCACCGCTACCCTTACCGCTGCCCTTCATTTTTTGCACACTGTCGCTGCTTTCTTCGTAACATCAAAATATTAAGCTCTTTGTAGACTGTAATTTGCCCGACTGCTGCCTGCTAACAACGTCCCCTATACTATTTCTCCACTTCGACATGAAACGGGACTTACTCGTCTTCTGTCTTCGAATACTTGATCACCAATGCCCTCAAACAACAGCAGAAGTGTGTTGACGACAGTATGTTCACGATAAAGTGATCCGTAAGTTAAATAAAACTTGTCATTTTGAAGTGACTTTATCATATCACCAAAGAAAGCGTTGATCTCTGTCCGAAATCCTTGCTAGCGAGAATCTCACCCGGATTAGACCCTAGCATGGCATCACAAAAGAAGTGCCACTGCACTCAGAAAGAGTTCCGTGGGATTTTCGCGTCTTTCTTACTTAGGTCCATGTGATTCTCTACCGGTTCGTTGAAAAATCCCGCAGGGAGTATGATGTGCCCTATCACCATGTTGATTATCCCATCACCATCCATCTGGATGATCAAACTAATGTTTATCTGCGGTTACGTATTATGTGTGTTTTAGTGGAACCTTGTTAATGATGCTGAGTCGATTCCGTTGGTCACGTCCTACTCCGATGTGTCTATTTCAATACTTTTCGAAGGTGTACGCAGCTTAGACGTAATATACTACTAATTAGGTTGCTGAAGACTCTTCGAAAGCCCACGACTGGTTTCGCCCTTCTTGGGAGTGTTGAAGAGCTTTCAGCAACTTTGTGAGTAATACGTTCATCCATGTATCGCGTTATTTCTCGAACATCGTGCCAACTGAAACATGAGGCGGCTTGGTGCAGTACACCCAGTTGCTTGAAAACATAATAAACTGGAGATTCAGCCAGATTCCAGGTGAATCGCCCGTCGAAACCAAACTGATATGCAAATGACTGTATTTGTCGTGTATGTATCATGTGCTTGATCATTTTCCTTAAGGTCGTTTTCTCCCACTTTCCCGCTCTTCTCTCTCCTTTTCACATTTTTCTAGACTGCATTTCTCAATAATGTATAGCATTAAATTCCCGGTACCCCCACTGCTGACGGTGGTGATTCTGTCTTGATTGGCGTGCCAGTGGGGTGTGCCCAAATATTCCGTTATAACAAGTAAGGTTTTGATGCAGAACCCAAAAAACAGAGATACCAACTATACGTTATTGTCTGCGAACTACAAAGTGTCTCATAATGGACACAAAAAATAATGTTAAAACTTTAACACCAATTATAACATTTATCATTCTTTAGGCGGACATACATGCATTATGAAGGTTTACTGTAACAAACTGGCATTACAAATGATGTTGGAAAAAGCCTCCCCTTCATTCCATAACAAGTTGGAGGCGGTATGAGATGTGAGACACAGCATGTTTCACTTCTTCAAGCGTCACTCGTGCACACTCCCCTTCAATTCTTGCTCTTAATTCCACCAAATTCTTCGGTTTATTTTCGTGATATACGCGAGCCTTGATCATTCCCCAAAACCAATAATCCAGAGGTGTGAGATCAGGTGACCTTGCGGGCCAAAAGTTTGGAAATCTACGAGCAATGACTCACTCATCAGAAACTTACTCTCGGAGGTAAGTTATCACTTGGTTTGAGTAGTGGGGTGGAGGATCATCTTGTTGAAAGACGGTCGATGACTTCTTGTGCTACTTGAGTTGCGGGATGACATGCGTCTGCAGCATATGGAGGTAACTGTTGCCGGAAACCGTAACATCAAAGAAAACGGGACGCAGGAGACACTTTGAGGAGAATCCCATCCACACACAGAGGTGAGGGGAATGGGTGAATTACTCGTGAGGAGCTTCACGGAACCATATCACGCATTTGTGCTTGTTGATTATGCCATCCAAAGAAAAATTTGCTTCATAGCCCCATAAAATGTTGGGAACGATTTCTTCATTGTCCAGCAGCCAGTTAGCGAAGGCGATACGTTGCTCCTTGTCTTCTTCCGTGATGTTTTGTAATAAAGTGAAATGATTCGGGTAGAGATGAAGGTGGCGTCTCATAATAAGATGCACGCTGGCGAGGGGAATACCGGTCAACTGAGACACCTGAATTATTGTCGAAGATTCTATTGTGCTCTGGGACTGAAATTGCTCGACGGCATTCTGTACAATGGGCGCTCTTTCATCACTCAGAGACTTTCTCCCTTTACCATAAAAATTCAATACAGATCCAGTGGACTCAACTTTCACAATCAAGCATGTAATGGTCGACATGATGAAAGGATCTTCGATGAGACCATGTTTAGTTTTGTAACCACGAAGTACAGTGGTGGCGCTTTCACCAAGGGAATAATAGATTTTCACAATTTCAATGCGCGTACTGTAAACAGAAAGAATGCCAACACTTGCACACAAAACCTTTATATGGCTACTAATAATGAAAAATTTTGTTATGCTTTCTTTAATTGTTTACGTTTACTTACCTGTTCAAAGTTTGCGTCTATTATGAGACACCTTGTATAGGTGAGCTCAAACTTCAATGATAATAGTGAGGACTGAGTAGTTTAGAAGCAATCGGTTCATCAGCTTATGCCCGAAATTGCCATTCGGTCCTGGAACCATAGAGTTTATAACTCCTCGTATGAGATAAAGTTGACTGTGGAGGAAAGAAGTCGTCTACTCACTGGAAGAGGCAAACAGAAGAAATGATAAACCTTGCATTTGTTAAAAAATCCAAAAACTATCCATAAAACGAAAATAATCATGGACATAAAACGCTACTCTGTCTAGTAACACTGAGCATCGTATCCTACAAAACAGTCTCATCATATAGTAATTTATCAGACGCGCCGCTTACATTTCACAATGTGCCTAATTTCATTCTAATATGATTTCTGTCTGCGGAGATTCGCATCAAACTACATATACAGGGTTTCACAGTGAGTTTTGGGAGTCAGGCATCTTAACTGTGACTCATCAACGATTAGGCGGTGCTAGCAACGAGATTTCTACTTGCCAGATAAACTTTTCCTTAGAGATTTAAAGGAAATCCTCCCAAAACATACTGTCAACGGTAGCCGAACGCGGATCCAAAGGCAGTCGCATATGCGCTCAAGCATCTGCATCTTGGTGTGATCTTCACTCAACAGCTGAGCAAGAATTAGCAATGCCATAAATGTGGATAATCTTAGTGGGTTACGAAGACTGACAGTTGAGTATGCTTTAAGTGTTCCGGACAAGTCGTACGTCCACACGGTATAGCCCAAAACACATGTCACTTAAGTACGGACGTCGATGTTGTCTTGTGTTTGGAGTAATGGCAGTCAGACTAGCCATCATGGAGATGACAGGCGCGGTAATGGGTTGGTTGCGGGTTCATTTTTTGTTCCACCCCCTTGATCGCCAAGCGGTGTGAAGAAAGCGTTGGATGGACAGCCACCAGGTCAGGCGACTGATCGATAATCACACTGACTAGAGCGACTGGACCAGACCGACCGTCACCAATGATTGGTGGACAGCAAAAACGTCTACCTGGTTTTTCGGGGACAAGACTTGAGGCATTTGTCGAGGACATTAGTCAGTTTTGATCCCGCCGTGCAGAACGCACGATGGTCTCTTGCATCTCCCCCACTAACGTCGAGCATCAGCGTCACGCTGACCAGCAAACGGGTGGCAATTTGGATACCGTACTAACAGTACCGAATGTTGCACACAGTATGCGTCTGTCTACCGGTTTGGCCGCCTCGGAGGACGTCGACCGTCTAATGTGGCAAGGTACGTTCTAGCTGGTCTTTTAAAACCACAATTTTCGTGCATCCTCCATTGAAACAAGACTGTCATCTTTTCGTAGTCACTGCTCACGGTCTGTACGATTCTTGATTAATCTAAGATCCACAGGCGAGTGTGGTACACCAGAATTGTTTGGGCAACCCAAAGTACTTCTTGTTGATGCTTGACATGATTTCACCGAAATCCACAGCTTCTGCATCTCATAAACCACGTACTAAAGAAAAGGCAATAGGGGCGTGGGAAAACGCAACAAGTTTCGAAGATCAGATGGATGTCTCATTCATCCGGTTCACAATGCACACTGTGCGCAAAAGCACCCCGTTTCTGAGCCTCCATCCGAAGATTGTCTGAATCTCGCTGTTTGTAAATTCATGAACCTTGGTTTACCGGCTAGAAAGATATATTTTTTAGGGTTTGAAGGTGCTGGAGTTACAAGGACTTTTGCACTAACAAGTTACCGGATTGTTGATTGTCTCAAGAAATGCTGAGATCCAGGTTACCTATGAAATTCGGTCATCTCCGAATGTCTTTCTCTCTTTCATTTGTTGACTATCACAGCGAACTCCAGTTAGTTTTAGTATCTGAGCCTGCGCTGGTCCCGGGATCCGCACTGTCAGGTGACAAGCAGCTTAGCAGTTTTTGAGTACTCCACCTATCTTTTCATCTTCCTGTCGTGTTTGCTCCGAAATTCTTTCTTTTCGTCAGACCAAATTATTTGTGACCGAAAACTACCTGAAGACACCAGAATGGGAATAAAATTTTTGTCGAAATCACCAGCGTTCGAAGCGTATGCCATACCCAACCGACGTAAGATGCCGTCTCTCTTGGCAAATCTCACGACTAATCCCCCGAGCATGCGGAAATTAGTCGTTTTGGTGTGAGGAGATCACCTAATTTAAAAATCGACCACGTAAATACATCACCGATACGACCTGCTGCGCCAAGTTTCACCGCACACCCGGGCAGTAACTGTCACTTTGTACGAGGGTATAAATTGTCACCTATAGTTGAAAGCAAAAGTCAGCCCTGAATAAGACCGTCAGTAGATTTGATTTTTAAATGAAACCTCACATTCCATAATTAATGGATAACTCGTTCAATTCATCCTTTTGAATATGGATATTCATTCCGGTAATATCAATAGGGTTACGTATAATATTAATAAATGATCGTTCAGCTGTAACACCCTGTCGGTGTCTAGCTGCCACGATACCAAAAGGAAGAGCGAGGGCTGGGGTACTGCCAAGCTGCCCAAGCCTAGACAGGGGAAGTCGAGAGAGAGAGAGATCGGGTTGCTTGCGGTCAGTAAATTCGCGCTCTAACCAGTGAGTCATCTCGTCCTCAACATGATTATTTGGTCCATTATTTTCGACTCTTTTACGGAGGTAGAGAAGTTAAGCAAAAGGACTGGCTGTTCAGTTTTCTCGCACCATTTTTCCCACCTACCATGTCAAGTAGATTTCAGAGTTGCTTCTGTATGCTTTAAATTAATCACTTGAAATGTTCATAGCCACACCACTCGCTTTTGAACCGTCGTCCTGTTCTGGCGTCATTATTCCGGTGAGTCGACACCAAAGGGAAGCACTGGACTCGAGTTTCGCTCTTGTTAAAATGTCTGTTACAGAAGTTTCAGTCAGATTTAGCTTTTCAAACTCACACCTTTGGTCATCCGCCTTAGGTTTCATCCTTATTAGTTAGTGGCTTCTTGACCTAAAGCCTGTCACCTCATTCATTCTTCATTCTGTCTTGAGCCGAATGCACCTGTTCCCTAGTTTATTTAAAAGTCAAAAGGGTACTGAACAAATAGGTGGGTGACTGAAATAGCTGTGAAATTTAGGGGTATTTTCATATCAAAAACTATGATGCTCAAGTAAATTCAACCAACCAAAAGAATATTTGCGTCCTCTTATTTCCATGTCTTTAGAAGTCACCAAGTGTAGAACGTGGAAGAAAACGATTGTTCATTAGGCACTGTTCGGTTCACTTGACCCATCGAGTGAAGTGGTTCAGTTCTTAGAGCGCGAATTTGCTGGCCGGAAGTTTCGAACCCGATCTCTGCCTCTCGGCTTCCCCTGTCTAGGCTTGGGCCGTATCCTATCCCTCGTGCTTCCTTCTGGCGGCATGGCAGCTAGGCACCGAAAGGGTGCTACAGCTGAAGGATTTTTTTTAAACACATGTAAATCCTTAGTTTAGCTGAACTGAGTTAGTATAACAAGAGTGATGAAAGCTCTTCAGCAATTAACTAAAGGCTTCCCCAGGTGGATATATTCCTTAAATTCGAGTTGCTCTTCCTACTAAGAGAACAACACAACTGAGTGATTCATTCGAAGCTTTGGATGATTCATTTGAGTGTACGAACAAGTGATCTATTTAGCACGCATTCTGTTGCCTTGCGCAGCACCCTGATGTTTGGTCTGTACGCGAAAAACGCACCACTGTACGGATCTCAAAGACCTTTTGTTATCGAACCTCAGCAAACTTCTGACTAAGGACGCGAGTGGATAAAACAGCCCTGTGTACTCCAGTTGTAGCTGTATACGTGAGATCAGGAACCAAACAGGAACTAATACTTTAAGAAGCTTCCAAGGTAGAATATCTCGCATTGTACAATTAGTTAAGCTTTAGGTTTCTCAAAGTGTTTTTTAGCCTTCTTATTTTCAAGAGTTCCTTAGTTTACTTTGAGCGTGTGATGAAACCAGTTGTTCGGTGTTCTAATGTAAGATTTATTGTCCATCGTTGTGAAATTAAGTTGACCTGAGCGAAGAAAACTACCCGCTTGCACACAATACCGTGCGTCACGTGGCGAAGCCATCGGGACACCCAATAGACGCATTGCACAGAATAACACGCACGAATTCTCTACCCATTATTCAATGCATGAGCAATTCCAATAGTCAGTTAAGTTGGTCTCTGTGTGTGTGTTCAAACGGCCGGTTAGTCGAGCAGCGAGAACTGACCCTCACTGTGATAAGGGTGTGATCAGCGGTCTGTTGCACACGTGCGGACGACCGAGAAACACGTGTGAGTTGTGACGTCAGAGTCAAGACGGTAGACTCAGGAAGTTGCGACTTGAGTAAGCGTGTGAAACAGTCACGTCTAACAAAAAGACATCCGAAAAACGATCAATGAGTGTGTCACTGACCTGCCGACACTTACAGGATCGGAACGAAAGGACTGATCACCTCCGCGCTGCAGAAAGCACTTAAAAGTTCAGCTTCACATCGTTCTCGTTTGAACAGTACTTCTTTGGTCCTGGTGCAATTATTCTGGTGGGTTCACGCCAGATGGGGAAGCACGGGCCCCGAGTCTCACCCTTGTTAGATATCATCAACAGTGCACATCCTTAGCGGTACCGACCTTTGAACACCGGTCACCTGGGCGAGCATGCTCCCACTACTCCACGCCCCGCATATCAAATACCCAAACTCAAGCCCCGACGCCCATGAAAATATGCACTGCTGATGAGTTCTGATAAGAGTGAAACTCGAATCCAGTGCTACACCCCTTTGGACCGGAGAGAGCGGTGCGGATGAGAACGATGTGAATGTTGGTTTTTAACTGTAGATGGCCAGGTTTTCAATCGTGCTTCACTGCGATAGCGCCATCTTGCTACACAGAGCATTGACGAGAGAGATAGAGGTTGAGCACTGCAAAGTCTGGTTTGTGAAGCATGTGTCGTAGCCGCTGTACTCTGCATCGCTTGATCAATTTGGAGTGGTCTAGTGCGATATAGCAGCAGTCCGTGACACCATTATTAGAGACTCTATCGTTCTAACGCACTTTATGTACCCCCAATGAACACCAGTTATCAAGTAACTCGAATCTTCGAACATCAACATTTTGGCGAGGCTATATGTCACACGGGCATCTTAGTACGAATTGGCGACCACAGTGTGCACACAGAGGTTTGTTTGAAGGCTAGTTTCCGAGCGTTTCCGTATGACGACTTGAGCCTGTATGGGCATGTTTCTGGCGTTATCATGGCGCTTCTACCTCTTTGAGAGGTTTGGAGGATGATGAAGCCAAAATAATTGAAGGACTCGACTTGGTTTATGGTTAACACTAGGCATCTTAGACTGGATATCCATGCCTCTGGCGAACAATCTTGTCCTTTCGATATTTATTTCCAGTTCAACCAGAGAAGCGTAGTGACCGAGGATAGGCTACATTCCTGTTGAATCTCCACTCAGATCGAAGATAGCATCAGGGTGCCCAAGATCCGTGATTCAATTGGTAGAATTTATTGATAGTCCAGAGAAGCCACTGAAGGAGTGCTACATCGAAATGCATTGGCAAAACTGGACAGCTCTGTCAAACATCAAGCCAAATGCCACATCAACTTCCACATATATTCGGCTGCTGGCTTAACTGAATAACTGAATAGCAGACTCTGATGAGATTCAGCAGCCTACCTTCCAGGCCATCTTCCTTCAAAACAGATTAAAGGCATTCGTTGTTGACTGATTCATACGCTATGCCCAGTCAATGAAGCAAACAGTGGTTGATTGCTGGACTTTTTAGCGCTACTGCCAAACAGCGTGGCGTATCTATTCGGTCTACGTAACCTCCGCCTTCGCGGAAGTCTCCCTGAGGTGAGAGTCTCCAGTCTGAGGTGAGATTGTCGCTTCTACAAGGCAGTGGAGTATTATTCAAAGATTTTGACTTCGATATCTGTCAGGTAGACCTCACAAACCCTTCTGTCGCCTGTTTTTAGGTATCGACAGCAGCGTAGAGATAGTTTAATCCACCGGGAACATTTCGGCTTCCCATATTGAACAGAAAAGCCTGTGAGGAGGTTGGAAGAATGCCGACAGGTGCGCTTTGTAAATTTCCACCGGGATACTGTTTACACATGGAGAGTAGTCACTTAATTAACTTGGATAATCCATCTTGGCTAGGGAACTCGTGGTTAATGGTGTACCGTGTGGATGTCGTGATGTTTGTAGTGTGTGTTTGGTAGCTGGGTAGGCGACTGAGTAGTGAGCTGGACTGTCCCTTCTATCTTTTCAGTCGTTTTTTCATAGGCCGCTTATATTAGACCGTCAGCCTCTCGAAGGTTACTTTGCTAACCTTGTCATGGGTCTGAACCGCGATGGAACAGCCAGAAAAGATGGGATGTTTGCAGCTGTGTGTATGCCAGAATCCATTTCTGACCAGTAAACCGTACGACTTTTCCTGGTGAAGCGGGTGTCCTGACGACGTAAGCTTTTGAAATAAGAAGCGTTGACCTTGTGCGCCTAAGTAGCTTGCTCTAAGAGATGAGTGACTTCATAGACGGACAATTCACCATTAGAATCTCTCGTTAAAGCCGTTTCATCATGCAACTGATTTCTAAGTAGGGAAACTGGTGCACATTTCACAAGTTATCTAATATCAGTGTTGGGTGGTGACTCATGCTGCCACCCGCGAAGTATCGTCGCCCAAACGTATCTTTTTTCATCTTGTTGCTCCAATTCCGCGACTGCAACGACTGGCCTCGCAGTGGTCAAACAAAAAGGTTGTCCACCTTCCTTTCTTCTAATATTCCTCTTGCAATTTCACATCCATGGTTTGAATATTGATCGTAAATCCGTTCACTGATTTTCATCTCCCTCCTGCGCGGTGCTCTTCACGAAAGGCTAAATCTTCGGGTCTGGTGACCTCGACCACCTCCAGCTACCGAACTAGTTAGTGACTCATCAGTTCGGATTAAAGGACGGAGGTTGCGCCTGCCAGGTTGTCAACTTTTGTGACTAAATTTCAAATTAGTCCGTTTTATCCGATATTTTTGCTCTAATCATCTATCACCGAATGGCAATGGTGAGCAATTTTCAGCCTCCTAGCTGAACATCACTCACGAACCTATTTTTCACTCTGACCTCAAACTAGAACTCCACGTCTTCGATAATTCCCACACTTCAGATGTGGGCTGGCCGTGTCACTCTTTTCACACAGATCCTCCTTGCCATAGACCAACTGCGTTTCAATTCTTAATTTCACCTTTCCCCCTCCCACGCTACTTGTTGACCGACAATAATAAAAATCCAGATCCACTTATAAGCACACAACCTTCCCACGACATGTGTCCTTATTTTTTATTCTTATCGAAAGCTCGAGTTTGTACGTCGTCCAGCTAACCAGCTCTGTTCAGTCAGTTCCTGTTCTGTGCGATAAAGCAAACCCGCCTCACCGAACCAGCATAAAAGAATTGTTGGCTTGACGGAGGTAGGTCAATAGTTCGACCGTGATTCACAGCCTTTGGAAGCCGGTTCCAAACACGTAGGTCAAAGGCCTTCTGAAATGAAATTAGTTTTTTCCCTGTAGTCTTGGCAACACTGTATCTTTCGTTCCCATACCTGACGTTGTTTGTATCCTATCGATTTTATTTCCTATTGACAGGGCAACTTCAGCTGAGTTTGCGCATCCTTCTTCGTTCAGTTTACGTGCACGGTGAGTCCACTTCATCTTGTGTTGCATGTACTCGTCATTTTGCTCTGTTCCATTTTTTCTTGGTTGTTACTTTCGGTCAGCCACTCATTTGAATGTTGGTATTAGTTTATCGAATGTTTCGAATATGTTCAATCCGGGTTCCTTGAGCGCACACACATACACCTCCATTGCTGATGATTCCCAACAAGGACGAAAAGATGTGTGGTGCTTCTAGGCTTTTCAGAGAAGATTAAGTCTCAGCTGTAGCATATGAATGTTTAGTTGGTCCCGCCCAATCCTGCAGTGGCGATTTTCCAGCGATTGGCGACGAAGTGTTTGCAACGCAGTTGTCAAACTCAGCGAGGAGACCGGAAAGGAGGCAGCTCACCGAAGCCACTCATAGACCCCGGCATCTCCAGTTGATCGCATGCCAAAAAGCTACAGTGCTCAGACTCAGAGTTAGCAACTGAATGTTTGCCACTCTGTATTCGGCGAGGTTTTTAACTATTGCTAGCAAAGTTTGGGCAACTGAGAGTGACATCCACGCTTTCTAAAGTGCAGGAGAGTTACGAACTGTAATTTCACAATCAGTGTGCTTTCAACTGATGCAAAACATGTCGTGCAATCCTATATAGCTGAGTTTTCCTAGGTTATACCTCACTTATCGTGATTGTTTCTTATGAACCCCACTTGCTTTACCCGCTCACTTTCAGTCCTACTTATTCCCACACAGTCTTCTCGCATTAACCAACACCTGGAGAACAGTTTGTTTGTTAACTGCGTTACCAGTTGTCCGTTCGGCTCCAGATAAACGTCTAGCAATCATCTGTCCTGCCAGTCCAAAAGCAAAATGTCTGTTTTTGATAGGACAGTTTTAAACACAAACAGTCATAAAGGCATTCATTCCCTCTAGATTTTCGGGGATCAACATCGATTCAAGCACCAATATACGTGATCTCTTTAGCGATTCATGTTGTACACTGCCGACAATTCCCCACAAGCATGAAACAGATGTATAGAGCTTCCGGGATTTTCAGCGCAAATTAGCTTCTACCACAGGACGATACCTCGACTAAAGAGAGAGGACTTTGTGTGGCTGGGCTTTTGAGGACCCGACTCTGTTTTCCCAACTATGGGGAGACTATGGAAACTCAGGGACTGCGCCTACCTGATGAACCCCGAAAAGGGCGAAACCGGTCGTGGACTGTCGAGGAATTTTCAGCAACCTTATGAGTAGTGCAATGCGTATATACAAGTTTCACTCTTACCCGCAGAAACGAAAGCATAATGATAAAATACTTGTTACAAGACCAAGGTCTTTTCTAGCCTCAGTTTGATAACCTCATTGCAAATTAGCGCAAATATATTTGGCAATATTTCAAGACCAGCCGGCTATCTTTGTCGAAACCAGTCAAAGCTTGAATTCTATTCAATCAAAACCTGACGAACTGTTAATTCATTCCCACAGAAGCAATCTTTTTGGTAACACAATCAATAGAGTGAACCAAACGAAATCGAGTGATTCCAAGGCCTTTGGTGCGTGTCCGCGAATAGCCTGTAGCTGGGTTTTCTAGCACCAGCAAGCTCAGGATACGACCCAGATATGCAACAGTTCTGGTTGCAATCAATCGGCAACTGTCAATCCTGTCCAATCCAGTGACAAGGATTAGCACTATTAAGGCGCCAATGTTTGCGAGTGTTGTTATGAGGTGAACTGGCTCCAGTGGATGCCCTTAATCTGCCTGTCGCATAACACGTACGGATGCTGGTTGGGACATAGGTACCGTTTCAAAGACCCTGATGGTCACAGTCGTGTCGGTGGCGTGTTACGAAGTGGTGTGATTCACCTGGTCTGTAGCATTGAATTGAGTGATTTTTATTCCATTTCACAATGTGTGGACTTCGCCAGAGCAAACAATAGCAAGACGATTTGAAGTAGAAACCTATCGTGAGTATCTCTTCCATGTACGTGAACGGTTTACTGCATAACCTCATATACGCAAGTATCTTGTTGGATACAAATGACCAGAATTGTTTTTTGGGTATTATGATGCCGCTGAAATCGATGTTTTTTGCTGAGGCACTTGGATGTAGCACCTTACTTGAACACGTAACCACTTTCGATCGTTGTCGCAACGACGGTCCTAATGTTTGAGCTAGGCCTTCTACAAAACCACACTGGTTGTGACAACTAAGTACACTCTTTAGGGAAGAATATGGCTGCACAAAATTTCAATGGAACCTCGAAGGTACCCGCCAAAAACGATCGTTTTCGAAGCAGCAACCTTCAGGATAATCCCTTAAGAGGGAAGACGGGCAACTTCACACCACCTTCCATGTGCACTTTGGCTGATCACCTTTAAATCCAAATCACCTGACTATGTTCACTATTATCATGTTCTTTAAATGCTAATCAGACATGCGGTCCACCCAGGTCAACCCATTCAACGAGTTGACATCACTGTCAAACCTTCGGCGAGTTAACTAGGTAACACTGACGAGGTGGACCGACCATCAGAAGCAAACCCGGTGAATCAGTCCGCTGACTCACACCCTTCCAAACACAAACCCTCGTAGTACTCAGACTGCTTTCCAAGTGACCGAACTATTTTTCCAGTCTGACAGATGGATTGTAAGTGCACATGCATCCAATGCATACTGAGGTGCTTTACGGTTGGCGTGTTCCTACCGAAGTATCAGCCCTCTTACCTGACGTCATTATTGACTGACTGCACCAGATATTATTGGCTTTGGAACCATAGCACCTGAGATACATACGATTAGGCCGAGATTGCGCTCAAGTCGATGGTTAGAACGTCATCTATTGCATTATTTCTCACCTTTTCTCTTAACCACTCTTTCACTTGAGATTTTATGGTAGCAGAATGTCGGTCGATATGTTGTGAAGTAAAGTGCAATCATCCTTGATTTGGAAATCCACTTGACTCCTTCCTTGACTCAGTAAGAACCCGTCCTACTGAAATCTAATATCTGGAAACGCCATCAAACTTCCCTACTGAACTTGGCCGAAGGCCTGTAGGTGTTCCGGTCAGATAGTTGGAATTCTGAACAATGCCTTATGTAGTAGATCATGAGCTCCAGTTGATCTTTTCTGATTACTCTTACCGATAATCCCCGTATCTTTAAGTACATAAGACTATCTTCAGTCTCTCTATGCCTCCAACGTACTGATACTGCAACGGA